GTATCGCGGACCGTTAGCACCAGGCTACATCTACACACATCACCCACACACCTGTCCATGGACACTGATGGTGAGGGAAGGGAGAGTAACGGCTGGGCTCCACCTGTGACGCGACCCGATACGGGGGGTGTGTCACGACCTGCGACGGGGTCTGGGCCGTGGGGGGCTAGCAACACGATTTGAAACCGTTATACGGATACTGTGCGTGACCCGCTTGTGACACGACCTGACCCGGTCCGAGACGGGCGTCGGGACCCGCGCTCCTCACCTGAGACACGATTCTGTTAAGGATCACGGGGTGTTGGGTTCTGCGACCCCATCCGACACGGCGCATCCCGAGTTCCTCACCTGAGAGACGATCAGGCAGGTGGTGATGAAGTGCGGCACCCGTCTGAATTTGCCGCTCAGCACAAACACTCCCAGTACCCAGACCTGAAACATATCAGAGACGGGGTTCAATGTGGTGCGAGTGCTGACCGGCGTCCGCTCAGCATGAAAACTCCCAGTACCCAGATCTTAAAGCATATCAGGGGCACGCGTTCACGGTATTGTAGCTGTTCGCTAATTGGGGCGCGGTAGACAGTACAGGAGTCACAGATAAACAAAACTGTGAAGGCGAATAAAACTTATGATACAACAACTGCACGATAAGCACTCAGCAAAGGTATATCAAACTCGCCGCAAAAAGGAGATAGGAGCCGTTCATGATTTTGACCAACCGCTGTTAGAACCAGGATCCAGGGTATAACTCACGCAGCAGACGAGTCCGATGGTGCTGATGTCGAAGATGTACTGGTCGATGTACTGGATGTATTGGGACGGCTCTACAGTCGAGTACAGACTGACCATCCAGGCCGAGACAAACATGAGCGGCGCAGAGAGGAAGGTGCCAATCACCAGAGAGCTGGCCACCTGGGGACAGACGGACAGAGGTCATAGTCAGAGGTCCGCCGTCATGAGTGGTGCTATAAGGAACGTGCCAATCACCAGAGAGCTGGCCACCTGAGAAGAAATAGATGAGAGGTACAAAATGAGCTAACAGTCTGACAGCACATCACAATAAGCACTGGGCTGTCAAATCCTCACGCCCGATTCCGTCTCTCTAGTCACTTTTTGCTACATTACTTGATGCACCATTCACCTCACCGGTTCAAGACCAGACACTACAGGGTGTCCCATAAGTTCGTTCTCACATTTTATTTGCATGTGAAACAGAGTACTTTGCGTTTTGATATATTTATGACCCCTCAATGTGCTCCCCATTTAATAGGCAAACACATGAGCACATGCTGCGGCATGCCAACCGGCATGTTTGGCTGCATAGCAGGCTTAAAGTTAACCCAGACTGACTTGACATGCGCCGTGAGCTCCTCGAGGCTGGAACAGCGCTACGCTTCGACGAGCCTAAATTTCAGCATAACCAACAATTTTTTATGAAATTTTGATCCGATGAGGTGCCTGGCATGTGGTCTTGCCACAAACGCCTGTCACAGTCTCCTTCCACCACTTTTAAGCTTTGCTTGGCCTGTGCACTGATGCACTGTCTTGCCTGAAGATGGGCCTACGACCTCTCGGATGCCATTTTCTCCTCTATAAATGTGTTCATACTCGCGGTTCGAGTTCAGCTTGAGGGCTGAAACTCCTCCTAGATTTTCTTAGAAAAGCATTATGCTTCCCAAAGCTGTTTCTGGGACACCAATCGCAACCTGGTCAGCGTCTGGACGCCTATAACCCCACAATACCGTGATCTTGGCCTTTCGCATAGGAACATAACGGGACGAAACGGAGGCCTCCTCCTTCGCCCTTATGGGGTTGTTTTCGGGTTTGGACGGGTGTTTCATCTCGAACGTGGACTAGTTAGTCCAGATGACCTGGTTGATGTCCTCAGCCCTTTAGTTTTTTAGCCTCAGGCATAACGAAACTCATGTTTGGCCATATTAAGACGTTTTTGACTGTTTTGAGCCCTCCGGTAAGCAAAGCTTAAGTCACCTTGAGTTATGTACCCCGTAAGAACAATTTTAGACAGCTGGTAATCCATCCTGAAAAGTCCTCTTACCAACTTTCTAACCCTTTGACCTTTTTGATGGCCACTTTGGCGCTACACAGTTTTGGCCACATGGCTCACTCCTGAGAGCTGACAAAAAAGAGGATAAACTTGCAATGATTGACTCCCGACAAATCATCGGTGTCACTTGCTGACTGTGCGTCCAGTTAGCGATGGACATTGTCTACAGACTGGTAGGCCTCAATCACCCTCAATTCGTCGCGAATGGTCACGTGCTGACTAAATACCGAGACGTACCCGTGTTGGAGACCTCTATGTTGCGGCGTTAGCCGTCTGTGTAGGAAACGGGCTCTCTAGCAAAAACTATTTTGTCTACAGAAATTAGTTACTGTGGAGCATATTTCTACTAGCCATGGCAACCACGGAAGCTCAGTAACGAACCAATTTCAGCGTGCCTTTAAGCAAGAGAGCCTAAAAACGTAAAATTTAGGTGAGAACGAACTTATGGGACACCCTGTATGTATAGTCACAACGCCCGCCGCCCGCTCAACGAACCCACCCCACACCGTACTCACCACCTCCACGGCCGTCTCGTAGTGTGTGACGTACACCAGGACGCTGGGTGTTTTACCTACCATCTGATACTGCACTCAGCACCCCACACCGTACTCACCACCTCCACGGCCGTCTCGTAGTGTGTGGCGTACACCAGGACGCTGGGTGTTTACCTACCATCTGATACTGCACTCAGCACCCCACACCGTACTTACCACCTCCACGGCGGTCTCGTAGTGCGTGGCGTACACCAGGACGCTGGGCGCCGTCGGCAGGATTCCGTACAGAAACGCGTAGTTGGTCAGATCCTGAGGAACGGACACAGCCGCGTCAGAGACCACAGCGAAAACACAGAGGTGATATGAACTCAAACGACAGAGTGTTGAGAGCAACCAAACGCTTTGGTTGGCAAAAGGCAATCACACATTTCTATGTAACAATAATGCTCAACCCTCGAATTTTCAGAGCTCAACTCACGATGGTGATGTTTGTGTTGGCGGTGCTGGATCCCTGCAGCAGGCTCATGGACTCGCGGGTGACGAGCGGCATCACCACCGACTTGACGCCGATCAAGATGAAGGGCACGACGTAGCGGCCGGAGCGCGCCGACGACTTGGACTCGGTCACCATGTGCAGGCCGAGCATGAACAGCGCCGTGGCCGAGTACGACTCCGAGAACGTCTGGGGACCAGAGGATAGTCAGTACTCAGTGTAGTGGCAGAGTAAGACTGCGCGAACGTCTGGGGACGGGAGAATAGAGTAGTGGGAGAGAAACGTCTCGGCAGAGGGGAAGAGGTCAGTAATGGGATAGACACGTCTGAGAGACGGCTCGGCAGAGGAAGAGTCAGTCGTGAAAGGTTTTAAACATGAAAAGACGAAAATAGAAATGAGCTAAAATGAACTACTTGTCTACTTCACAGTTAATTATCCAATTGTGGAAAAAAACAACTCCAACATCCACGACATAATGTGCCAAAGCCGATCAGTCTCCGGCTGTCTGTGCTGCCACTCACATTGAGGATGTTGTAGAGCACCTTGGGTATGACGTGCTGGAACACCACGTTCCCCACGACGCCCAGTCCGGTCATCACCACGATGGGGTTGGTGAAGGCGCCCTTCAGCGAGAGCAGCACCAGCCGGCAGACGGAGACTCGCCGGCGAGCTGGGCCGTCACCGCTCTCCAGCGCCAGGGAGAGGTGGCGCCGCTTCCAGAGCTCCATCAGCACGAAGCCGACCGGGTTCAGCAGGCACAGCGACACCGGAGCCACCAGGTACAGGTAGCTGACAAACTCCGGGTGGGAGTCCTTGTAGATCGCAGAGACTGCCAGGGGAGCGGACAGTGTCAGACACTGGGGTGGGTGTGCAAGAAACTTATCTCTAAAGTGTAAGTACATCTTTGTACATTGGCGGCATTAACCACAACGTGCGTGGCTATTCGCTGGTATGTGAAATGATAAAGGATTTACGCAAAAGCTATCGTTTTCGTGATGTGTAACAAAAACGGAGTAATATTCGCATAACAAACACATTGCATGCATGTTCGAGTAATTATGCCACTGAGGAGGTATAAAGCCGCGGGCGGCTGCACTCCACTCACTGATGGGATATCCGAGCGCGAAGTCGTTACTCTGGGTGCAGAAGATGGCGTAGAGGGCGCCGGTGGAGTAGTCGGACGGCCGCGTCACCACCAGGCAGCCGATCAGCACCACCGCGAACACGGCAGACTTGGACAGCAGGATCGCCAACAAAAAGTTCCAGTTGACCACGCTGCGGGAGGCCAGGAGGGTGATGAGGGGTCGGGTGGCGGAGAGCCGGGGAGGCCGATACACCAGCTCACAACGTTCGGCAAGCTGCGGCACTTCAACGTCCGGTAGATCTAAACAAGGTGTGACTAGCAGTGTATCGATAATTCAGAAACATAATAGCAGCGTTTCACAAACATGCATACGAGTGACACTCTTTGAAACCGGCGTAAGCACATGGATTGTTGGCTTTACTCGTTTGTCCCATCAAATCACCCGATGAGCTAATAGTCGGCGATCCGGCAGTGTCCTTCCTGCTCAGTTCTCACCATAACCCACGAACTGCAGACCCCTGCCCACAGTACCCCTCACACAGCCAGGGCCAGTCGCTTACGTAAAGTCCAGTGTGGCTACACAGCCCGCCCCACACAGACCCCACCCACAGGCGGGACCAGCTCCTTACGTGAAGTCCAGCGTGGCCATCGAGAGGAAGATGAGAGTCGGCAGCGCGAACTTGCCGACAAACAGCTCAATGCCACGCCCCTCATGGCTGGAGATGACCTTGAACCGGCCGGCCAGGTACCTGAAATCGGCGCACCATACAGATTAGTGCCGTGCGCAACTGACGGAACAGATTACCTATCTGATAGGGACATAGTTTTTTATTAGCAGATACAACTCACTTGGACCTTTTTATTTAAATTATTCATTATATTTTTATTATATAGCTGATAATATTTATATTATGTAATATTTATATCATCAGCTAACAGAATGACCGAACAAGCTTTAATTACCGGGTGGCCCCCAAAAAAACGTTCACAACCTTAAATATCATTATCTCGGATATTAACGCAAATAACAAGGCGAAATTTTCGCAACGCATGCGCCACCTCTTTGCGCCTTGGTATGCCAAATTATAAAACTGTACAGTATACACCGCGCCAGCACTGCTATCTGGAATAAAGTGACAAGCTTTTGCTTTTCGCCGGTCTTGAACCATGAAGAGGTTTGGTTTAGACGCCCTCGGTCCCAAGGCCCTCTCGGTCCTAGGTTACAAAAAGTCCCAGGAACTCAAACACGTGAATGAAAGCAGCACGTGCGGCAATTCTTTGATTTTTTGTCTTACTCGTATGCCAGATATTAAAATACTGAGTCAAGATCGTATATACGGCCTTGATCGTGCTCACAGATGTCTTCGTTTCACCACCGTCTCAAGCAAAAAGAGAGATACGGCCCTAATGTACGGCCTTGGGTACGGCGCACGGCTTGCTACTGAGCTTGCTCACTTTGAGTAGATCAAACAGGCAATCGACCGGATAAGGGAAAAATTAGAGCACACTGGTTCCTCATTCTGTCATCTGTGCCATTAGACCACAGCATAGCCACGGAATATATACTCTACGCAGGGGCGTAGGATCCTATACAGTTGGGGGGGCTTCAGCCCCCCCAACCTGCTGGTCAGCCCCCCCAACTTGCCAGGCAGCCCCCCCAACATTATAAAATATTTACAAATTAAAGAAAGCTCAACTTGGCAAAGTTACAATTTTGGGTAGTAGTAAAGCAGGCGTCACACTTCTTTTTGCGACCAAGGAGATGCGCTGTAGGTTAGGCTGTAGGGTGTAGGTTTTAGGTTTAAGGTGGTAGATTTTAGGTTGTAGGTTCCTGGTTGCATGTTTTTGGTTGTAGGTTGTAGGTGAGTTTAGGTCAGGTTTGGTTAGGTTTGGTTTGGCTTGGGCCTTGGTCCGATTAGAAAGCATCTCTGGAGTCTCGGTAAAGCGCCTCTCTGCTTTACGACTAACTACCCAATTTTGGCCTTAAAACTAACTGGGGGCTTTGAAAATGTGCATTACAATAAAGGGAGTAAATTTAATTTATAAAATGACTTTCGAGTCATTAGAAAGAACATACTAGCAAAACAAAACCAGGAGGGTACACATAAAAATCAACCGGGTTATTTCACCTCCCGAACGTTGTCACACCGTTTTTGTAACAAGACTATAAATAGTAAAATAGAGGTGAAATCAAGGCCGGTGAAATATCGTCAGCTGATCGTTTATGATTATGTCAAATCTTTAAAATGATAACGTCATAATGAATAAAAATAAACTGGCATTATCTTAAAAGGATTTGGTGAAAGAAATTTGCACATTCAGTAACTTTTAAATGTTTTTTCATCTTTTTTTCTAAGATATCTCTTATGTCTCGCCTTCAGAAAAAGGCCAAATCCTTTTTACGGAATTTGACGCCATCGCAGGCATAATCAGCTGACGATACAGCACAAAACCTTTGGATGTTAGTGCGTGCCTTCGGCATCCGGATAATCAGGGAAAATTATCCGGCATCAGCGATAATTATCGGGGATTACGTTCGGTATCGCGATAATGAGACATGTTGAAGATAGGCACCCACCAATAATTTTCCGGCCGAGAATATCCAAACGATATTTTCCGGATACCGAACGCACGCTAAAGCGGCGCAGAAAGCAGAAAACACAACAAAACAAAGGCGCGACACTCAACAGCTTCGTTTCGTTTGTTTAGGGGTGGGTGCAAGGCCATGTAGGTGGAACTCGGACGGTAGGACGAACGATGAGGACAATTGTTCAGGGACGTACCCAAGATGGACGGGGTGCCCCCCCCCCCCCTCGGGGTTTGCAGGAGGCCCCCGTGGGCCGAAGGCCACGGGGCCAAAATCACGTCGGAGGCGAAAGAAATTCAAGGGAATCCCAAAAATCACGTCAGGATATTCAGGGCCTCTGACCAGCCTGACAGCTAGGGTCCTTCTTACTTCCTGGGGCCTCCTGTGAATAACTGCTAGTGTCTGTGTCTGACCGCTAGGGCCCCTCTGACTCCTCAGTAGAGAGGAGGCCCTCTGTAAGAGGAGAGGAGGCCCCTCTGTAGAGAGGAGGCCCCTTTAGAGAGGAGGCCCTCTGTAGAAAGGAGGCCCCCTGTAGAGAAGAGGCCATCTGTAGAAAGAAGGCCCTGTGTAGTTAGAGAGGAGGCCCTCTGTAGAAAGGAGACCGCCTGAAAGCAGAAGGCCCTCTGAAGAGAGGAGGCCCGCTGTAGAGAGGAGGCCCTCTGAAGAGAGGATGTAGAGAGGTATGTAGAGAGGACTCCCTCAGTAGAGAGGAGGCCGGAGGCCCTTTGCAGAGATGAGGTCCTCTGTAGAGAGGAGGTCCTCTGAAGAAAGGGTGCCCTCTGAAAGAGATAGACCCTCAGTAGAAAGGAAGTCCTCTGTAGAGAGGAGGCCTTCTGTAGTTGATAGGCCCTGTGAAAAGAGGAGGCCCACAGTAGAGAGGTGGTCCTCTCTAGAGAGGAGGCCCCTCTGTGTGTGTTTTTCTTTTGCAAATTTGTGTACCTACAGGTCAATACGAGATCGTGACTGTAATTACACCAACCAACCGTGTCAAATTGAATCGGAATTCATATGTGTACTATGGAGTGTGAAGGAACTCCGGCTTGTACTACCATACTAAAAGAGTTGTAAAATTTGTGATTTGGAGCAGTGTTTTGACAAATGCTTTTGCAAATTTTCTCGGCGCTCCGCGCCTCCGATTCATACACCAATCAATAAGAAAGGTCGTGACTGTAATAACACCAACCGTGTCAAATTGAATCAAAATTCCCTAAGTGTATAGTCGACTACAGAATGATGTTCCACTCCTCAGAAGCTATCAGTTGACTGGAGCGCTAGTTGTGCCGTTTATCACGCAATTAAGCGCCTGACGATTGTGAGCATTAGGACAAAGTTATAATTCGTGAACTCAGCCCGTGTGATGCGGCACAGCCTACCACTCCAGGCGAATATTTGCCTGTGAAAAGTGGAACATCATTCTTAAAAAAACGTTTGTTTTGCAAATTTTCGCAGCGCTTCGCGCCGTCGGTTCGTTAACAGGTCAATAAGAGAGATCGCTACTGTATGCTACTAATGCATTACGCTAAAAGTGCGGTAACAATATCAACTTCTATGTTTTTAAGTCGGTCGATACGCCACCCCCCCCCCCCCCAAGTAAGAAATCCGTGGCGACGCACTTGCATAGGTGGATTTAACTAAAACCAATGAGCCGAGTGACTTAGAACGATAAAGCTTCATCTTATAGAAACGACGAAGACGAAATGCCTTTTGATCTCGACATACTCGCTCCCCTCCCCCGGTCGTCAGAATTCATCCATCAGATCAGTCATGTCGGCCGACGTGTACCCCCCCCCCCCCCCCCCACAAAAGCGTTCGCCTAGATCCTCCCTTGCCCTCTGTAGAGAGGAGGCGCCCTGTAGAGAGGAAGCCCCCCCCCCGGATCCTCCGCCCCCCCCCCCCTGGGCCAAATCCTAGGTACGTGCCTGCAATTGTTTTGTGCATTTTGGGAGTATTCGTGTGGCTACACGACTTACAACTTTAAAAACAAAACTATGCTTCCAATGATATGCAGAATGCGGGGGTTTTGCGAAATACTACAACAGAAATTGTTCTGTGACTGTCCTGTTTTACCGATCACGATCCGCCTACTTTGTCGATACCGCTATCGTGGCCCTAGAAGTAGTCGAGGAGGTCTCTGAAACAGCCAAAAGGGAGCCATTAAACAGTCTACAATCTTTACACAAAAACTTGACCCTTCTGAAATGAAGTGGGTGATTGGTGAAAAATGAGTACCTAGATTTTAGTTTAGGAAATTGCAGGGGTACCTCCAAGGAAACCCTAAAACAGTTTGCCAAACTAGGGGATAGGAATCTAAACACTGAATCAATCAAGAAATTGAATCTCTCATCAGCCCTAAAGAAGAGCATACATGTACCGTTTTAATGGCATCACTTTGCATTTGAAAAGCATAAATGTGGTTGCAAAACGTTGAGCCGGAATATAAATACCTACGCCTTATTTTATAAGCCTGAACTTGGATCCAGGGGGAGAGAATAGGTCATATCACTCAAGTCATAGACCCGCTTTTCACCACCATGGTCCACGCTCCCTCCCCCCGGTCAACACCTTTTCCACTGCTGGTTTCCCCGCCCCCCCCCCCCCGCTCAGCACCTTTTGTCGCCACCCCACCGGCGCGGCGTCCGGGGTTCAGCCCCCCCAACCTATTTTGCGATCCTACACCCCTGACTCTACGAATACATATTCCGTGGCATAGCTGTTGAAAGGCAGCATTGCCGGTAGCCGACAGGAAGCTGATGGAAAGGCTACCTTTTCATAGGAATTCAGCCCGGAGAGCATTTGAGTCAGCTGAAGGCGGCTAAAACAGTGGGGACTTCATCCGACATTGGTGCCGCTTGCTTAGAGCCATGGATGTCAATATCTGCTGAGTTGCGGGTGCCCAAGCACCACAAATCCACCGCGACCCTAGCGTTGACCGTAGCCCGCGCCGTCTGTTACAGCTACAAAAGTCAAGCAGGCGTGGAGTGGGGAGAGTTCCGGCACCCAAAACTCGGCAGAAATCGACACCCATGCAGAGAGCTATCGTGGTTGCGTGAGAAAACGTGTCACCCTGCACCGTCGATGAGAGTATAAGCCAGTGGAAGGTAATGGCTGCAGGCCATGTTGCCGGAATGAAAGTGGAACTTTTACATACTTGGCATGATTTAAAAGCAAATGGTTTAAAGAGTAAATCACCGAATAGCATAAAAAATCGCACTACTTACTGAAGATATGTAGCGCAGGCTATTCAAAGTTTCAATATTATATCTTAACTACTTTTTGAGAACTACATATCTAAGGTTGGGAAGTTTTTTTTTCTGGGTCACTCGGTATACAACATTTTACAAGCCTGCCTCAAAAATTTAACGGACACGGGGACCTGCGCTCATCAACATTTGCATAAGCAACAATAACAGACGAAGTTGATCGTAATCATAATCAACCATTGATATCGACTGATAAACGTACACCAAAAATTCATTTACAAAGTGCCTACCTCTGCCGACACCCTGATCGTTCATCATTATCCAGCACACTGACCCGCACAGTGTGACGCTGTCGGCTGTACTGACCCGCAGAGTGTGACGCTGAAGCACTGGATGACGGCCGGGAAGAGTTCCTCCATGACGCCGCCTCCGCTGGGGTCGGGCGACGGGTCTCCGCCGCCCCCGCTGCTGCTGTTACCCACGGGCAGCGCCATCACGCCTCCGTCATCGGACGGGCTGAGTACCACCAGAGTACGGAGCTGTGGGAGGGGGAGAGAGACGGTCAGACTTTACCCACGATAGGCAGACTAAGATCCCTCAGTGCGGGGCTCTGAGGGGCGGTCTGAGCAGACTCGAGCACCACCAGGGTCCGGAGTTGCGGGGGCGAGCGGAAGGTCAGAATAGTATCAGGGTAGTCTGAAGCCACGGGACGGAGAGAGGCTGTCAGACTAGTCTCACACCAGTGCGGAACTGCGGGAGGGAACAGCAGTTCGGAGTAGCACCAGGACAGGCAGACTAAAGTGACGGTCAGTAGTCTGATATCAGTCTGGAGCTAGGGACGAAGATAGACGGTCAGAACAGTGTCAAATTAGTGCGGAGGAGTGGGACGGAGCTGGTAGGGAGCTGACGGGGCTTAGCTCGGAGCCGGTGAAGAGAGGGCGGGTCAAACTGGTCCGGAGACAGTCCGGAGCTGCGTCCAGGAAAAGCGGGTCAGTCGGCAGAGCGGACGGATCAGACGGCAGAGTCTCACAGGGTCGGGTCAGACAGCAGAGTCTCAAAGGGTCGGGTCAGACGGCCGATTACCGGCGGGACGTGCCGCAGCGTGTGGTCACAGTGCGGGGGCGCCGAGCCTACTGCACCACAGACAGCGACACAGACCAGCCACGCGGGGGGACTGCGGGGACGCCACACCGCGAATTTATGACCCGCTAACACCTGTGCCAGCGCAGCTCTGGTTCCCTGTCGCGAACAGCTCCTGTGCATCCACCCAGCCCCGTCAGCGGTTCACTGTGCCCAACAACCCCTGTAAAATGACTGTGCAATGCATCCACCCAGCGCCCCTCTGCGGTCCCCTGTGTTGAGCAGTTCCTGTGCAGACGGCCAGCGCCATGCAGTAGTCCCCAGAGTGAGACGGCCCGAACTGCCAGGTCACGGCCGACCGACAGTAACCTGCGGACACCGCGCTACGAGACAGAGGTCCACCGTCAACACTGATTGGTTCGACATCGATTGCTAGAGCGGAAAAACGAGACGGTACCGATCGGGTAACGTTAATGAATCCAAAAACCGTTAGCGAAATCTTAAAGAAGATTAAACGTCCCGCTGAACCAGCGACAGTGTAGATTCCAATACCAGTCTGTCAGAAAATGAGCCGTTGGAATGGGACATGACATTAGGTTGCAGTTTGTAATTGATCCGCCGACATTTCATTACGCACTCCCTGAAGTTCAAACAAGCGACACCGCCGCTTATTTGCGCTTCGATCGTCATGCGCACGGCCAGGTCTGCTGCTTAATGATATGTCCAGTGTCCACCCTTTCCTGAGACGTGTTGATAGATCGATGTCGGAAAATGGACACCCCCAGTGATGGGATAGATTTAGCCCAACAAACCAATCAACAAACGAACCAACATATACTGAGACAGTCGAGGCAATTATTCACTTATAATGATCAATGCTACCCACGCAGATAGCCAATAGGTAAGACGTAGGGAATGGAGATGAAGAAGGGAGCACACAACTAAATAAAGTTAATATGACATAATTAATAAACGCATTTAGAAACTGAGGAGCATTCAGCCATATGCAGCGATGACTGTGTAAATATCACATCGTCATAGACCTGTTATGAAGTGAAACGTTCGTCAAAACAGGTCACCAGTTTCATAACAAAGGAACACAATCCGGACTATGATCGCCAACAGTTGACACGCAAACCTTGACAAACATACGCGTGGGCGCCGCCGAAAATCGACTGTAGTCCGTTTGAGACCGATTAGAAAGGACGGAACACTGGTAAATGACCAACAAATCAAACGGCCACCGGTCCAGCGTTAGGAAAGAGCGGCTACTGTAACTCGCAAAGGGGGCATTCCACGTCAAGTGGGACAAAAAATGATCATTTTGAACCTCACCTTCTCCGATTTTTGCGAAACTTTGTGAAACTACTCATCTATATGTGAAAAGAAAGGAGACATATTTTTGTCAAGATATGACGTCACGTTTCCGAGACACACGTCATCAAACATTGACTTAGGCAAGGCACATTATCATCTTTAAAGCGTCATAACCATTGAAGTTTTAGGCATATCACCACAAGACAAAGTGTGAAATGGAGGGAATAGGTCAGGCTTTAAATTGAGGATAACAATATTTGCGTAATTAACTAATTAGTGAACCTAATTAAAATTCAAAAAATAAATTTTGATTTTCTGAAAAATGGGTACCCTTCGATTTTGCTGATTTTTACATATTTTATTCTCCTATACATTAGCTACATCATATAAAAAAATCCAGAATGGGCCGACGTCTACGTAACTGTCTTTTGGACTTCGTAATGTCTGGCACTCGCGTGTTTCGTTTTAGCAACCAAGGAGAGGCGCTACCGGAGATGCTTCTTTCTACCCCAAACCAAAGCAAACAAACCTAACCTGACCTGACGTGACCTGACCTAATCTAACACGCGTAAATATATACAGCCCTCACGGCAGTTACCGACTGGCCAAATGCTACCTAGATACGAACATTAGCCCTCACGACAGCTGCCGGCTGGCCAGATGCTTAACAAAGTGTTTAACAAATGCGTGTGAAACACTTCAGGCTGACCCGCTGCGAGCCAGCGACCTTTAGATTTCGAGGTGGGTACACTTGGCACACTTACTACTAAGCCACGAAGATAGCTGGTCATCGTAAGCCAGTTTTTTAATGATGAAATTGGGCATTCTCCGGGCAGCGCCTCTCTTTGGTTGCAAAAAGAATATAAGCCTGACTCCCAGCGCTAGGGGAGAAAAGCCCGGCTTAGCCAAAAAAGGTATAAAAAAAAACGGAATTTGAATTGTAGGTGGGGCGGTGAGGAACTTTATCGTGTGCCAAGTTCATGGCCCTAGATAAATATATTCAAGATCAAATGAGGTTAAACGTGATCAAATTTGCTATAGTGACTATTTTGCGTTTATACGCCCATAGCTCTAAGAGATACTGGCCGATTTTCCTATTTCTTCCTTTATACGACATTTGTAGTGTTATGAGAATCTCTAGTTAATCTTACCATAAATTTGGCAGTTAGTGGCTTGCTAAGAGTAAGATGTCGCCGGCAGAGGCGGGGATCGGCCGACGCGGGAAACGTCATAGTCACAGATTGTGTTTGCACCCTAAAAATTTAATTTTACCAGTTGATTTTCATATTTATTTGAACATTAGATTGACTGTACATTTTTAAGCCTACACACAAAATTTGACACGAATCTATCAATCAGCGGTAAGAAGCGCGGTGCAAAGATGGAACCGTCCCGCGCCGACACAGTCTACCATTCAGGCGGCAACGGCCGGCGCCGGCCGCTGAGCCGCTCCGGCAGGAATGTTTGACTTTACACCGCTATTACTAGAAAAGTTGTGGACCGATTTACCTATTCCTTGCACGGGAGGATTTGCAATTCGATTCTGGACAGATACTGAAAGTTTGACGTTAATATAATAATTATGGCGTGAATTATTGGCGATAAACAGATGGAGTTAGCGAAATCGGCCCCTTCCACCGCCCGTGCGACGTTGCACTACTTGTTGCTATATCATCCAAAGTTATTCGTTGGCCGACTCTAATTTTCTCAGCACGTGTGCCTTACGTCTAGTGGAAGACAATATCAAAATTTGAGCAAAATCGAAGGGTACCCATTTTTCACAAATTACATTTTAAGAAATTAATTCAAAATAAAATAAATTCAAAATCACCAAAAAATGTAAAAATTGTCAAATTTTACTAGCATAACTCCTTGTGTACACGTTTCAGTTTGTTTCAAATTAATAGCTTCAAAAATGTTAAAGCTATAGATCTTTTAAGATTGCAATACACGTCCAATTCTGCTAAAAAAGCAGAAGTTTAGCGACTTGTATCTCTGTAGCCCGAGGGCATATGACAAAATCCTTTCACCCTCAAAGGTTTCACCCAATAGCCAATAAGTATACCAAGTTTGAACAAAATCGCAGAGATGGCCGATTTTGGCTGTCCCGGTTGACATGGAATGCCCCAAAGACGAAGCTTACGCCGAGCTCAACAACAGCTAGCTGTGGTAACGGTAACACAGGGGGCTCGAAAAGTCACGCTCACACAGTCAATACATGAAAAGTCACAGCTTATTGACCTATGAATGGTGGAGTTTAGTCTAGGTAGGGATAAAATGAAGGCGTCTATGCCAACCCCATAATGCTAGAGTGCATTCACTAGCACAATCATTGCTCATTTGGTGTTTCAAAAATAATTAGACCAAAGCCATTGAATTTGAAAAAAAAACGTAGCCCTAACAACCGATAACGAATGCTTGTTGGTGGCTCTCAGGAAGACTCGACAGCTCGACAAATAAACACTGGACATATATTGGCACCAGGATCCCGGCGAAAATCAATGGTTCAAACAGAAATAAGGAGCTACAATATTTTGAGCGGCCACATCCTCGACACTGGCTCTGGAAGAGTGAGTGTCTCGGTTTCCGCTCTGGAAAAAGGTATCATACCAAGGTATTCGTACCAACGGCTTAAAAGTTAACACAGCTAAAACTGAGCTCATCGTTTTTGGCTCGCGCCAAAATTGCCGCAGCCTGGATCTCATCTCAATTCGGTTCCGTGAGGACACGAACCGTGAGGGCCCTACGGTGAGGAACCTTGGCGTGGTTTTCGACAAGCACCTCACCTGGGACTCTCACGTATCGGCCCTCGTCCAAAAATGCAACGGTATCCTCATTGGGCTGTCCCACGTGCGTCACCACATCCCTTGTGAACTTCTGCCAACCGTGGTCAGCGCGTTGGTCCTCTCGCACGTCCGATATTGTCTCTCGGTCTATGGAAACGGGTCGGACAAAAACACACAACGCCTCCAAAAAGTTCTCAATTTTGCGCTGCGCGTTGTGTCCGGCCGAAGAAAATTTGGCCACATATCGGACGTGCGAGAGGAACTGGGCTGGCCTACCGCCCGTCAGTTGTACGAAATCCACTCTCTTAACTTCCTCCACAAAATACGCTGCACCGAAGAGCCGGATACTATGTCCT